CGCTGCCCAGGCGGGTCTCGAACCCGCGGGCTCAGGCAATCCACTCACCTTAGCCTCCCAAAGGCGTGGGATTACAGGCTGAGCCATTGAGCCCGGCTCCGGCTAATTTTTGATTTATTGTAGGGACGAGGTCTCACCAAGTTGCCTGGGTTGGTCTGGAACCCGTAGGTTCAGGCAATCCACTCGCCTCCGTGCTGGGATTGCAGGCTGAGCCAACGAGCCTGGCCTATTTAATTTTCATAGAGATGAGGTCTTGCTGTGTTACTCAGACTGGTCTCCAACTCCTGGGCCTCAGTTTCCCAAAGTCCTGGGATTACAGGTGTGAGCTCCTACGTCTGGCTGATTTTTTCTTGAAGCCACTCCAGTCTGGCTTTTATCTTCACCATCCCACTAAAATCTCTCTTTGTAAGGTAAGCGCTGACTTAAGGATTGCCACATCCTTTGGTCTCTCTTAACCATGCTTGTCCTCTCAACATGGTTTGATACTAATGCTCACTTACTTTTTGAAATCTTTTCTTCAGTTGACATTTGGGGTACCAGACTCTTGATTATCTTCCTACTCATTTTCTACCTCCCAGTTTATTTTGGTTACTTCTGTGCCTGATTTCGAATTCCTGAAGTTTTCCAGGTTTTTTTTCTCCTACTTCTTTTTTAACCCTTGATCTCTAGGTGTCCTCTTCCATTTTAATGCGTTTAATACCCCGTGTTTGCTGATAAGTTTCAAATGTGTATCTCCAACATTGACTTCTTTCTGAGTTCTGTAATTGCAAATTCACTGTCAGCATCTTCCCTTGGATATTTAATAGGCACCCGAAACTTAACATATCTAAAATAGAATGCCCAGTTTTTTTTGTTTTCCTTCTCCCCTCACATAAAACGAAAACTAGTCTGTTCTTCCACCAATGTTCTCATCTTAGTAGTGGTAGTGTAGTGATGCATTCATAGTTTACTGAAGCCACGAACTCCTAGGCTCAAGTGATTCTCCTGAGTAACTGGGATTACAGGTGTGTGCCATCACACCTGGGTAATTTTTATTTTGTTTTTTTGTAGAAATGAAGTCTTACGATATCACCCAGACTGGTCAAGAACTCTTGGCCTTAAGTGATCCTTCCATCTCTGTCCTCCAAAGCACTGGGATTATAGGCATGAGCCATTGTGCCCCGTCCTTCTTCTCTAGAAGTCTAGAAATATGACAGCTTCTTACCGTTCTATCCCAATCCCATTTCACCCTTCCTCTTTAGATTATTGTGTAGCTTCCTCTCAGGTTCTCACTCTTTCGTAGTCTCTGCCTAGCAGTTAAAGGTGACTTGTTTTTGAAAAAGCACGTAGACTTGTTTGTGTCACTCACCTTGCACAACACCAACCTTTGGCTTCCCATCACACTTGGAATAAAACTCATACTCCTTACCCTGGCCTACATGATCTTGCCTCTGCCTAAATCTCTGTGACCTCATCTTCTGCCAATTGCTCATAGCAGCCATCTCATTGGTCTTTTAGCTGTTCTAATCTTAGAGCCTTTGCACTTGCTCTTCTCTGTCTTGAATTCTGTTTGTCTACATCGTCACATGACTCATTTCCTTGCTGTCTCATTTTGGTCTGTGCTCAAATATTCCAAATGTTGTTCCATCACAGTGGACTTCTCTGATCACTCTATATAAAATATAAAATAATATTGCTTCCCTCCATCCCCATTATGTATTATTTTTCATTAAGTCCCATATGTTAACCTGAAATTCTGTATTTATTTGTTTGAGTACATATTGTCTGTCTTCTCCACTAGAGGGTAAAACCAAAAGAGACAGTTTGTCTTGTTTATTGTTAAATACATTTAGAATACTGGTGCATAATAGGTTCTTAACTGAATAAATGAATACTTACTAATTTGCTGTCTTGCAGATTACAAATAAGGTGATATAATAGGACTGTTTGGTCTCACTTTCTCTAGGTTGGAGTGTACTGCCTTTTAAGTCATTAATAGCTGTTTTATCACACATTCTGCTCTGAGACTTTAAGCAATAAGATTGATTTACACAGAGAATCTTGTGTATAAAGGAAATATCATAATTAGTGTTTTTTTCCTGTGTTATTCTCATTCAACAAGTGCTTACTGAATGCTGCTTCTTTTTTTTTTTGAATGCTGAATGCTTATTCTTAAAGGCATTGTACTGGGTGCTGTACAAAATGCAAAATCCCTATTCTAAACATGTTTACTGTCATGCAAGGGAGTCTGATAGACAATAGGTTAGAACCCTAGAGAAGAAAAGAAGAAATCTCAATTCTCTCGTGAAGTGGATGGAGTTGGCAAGGATTTGTTTTTAACTTGAAGCAAATTTAATTTTTTGGAGGGGTGTTTTTCCTAACTTTTTAAATCATGAGAATCATGTTGTAAAATAGTTTTTTTTTTTTTTTTTTGACTTCAGAAGATTTGGTATAGGGTCTAGAATTCTCTGTTCTTAATAAGCCTCACAGATGAGCCTGGTAAATAGGCTAGTTTTGGGGGAGTACTTTAGAGCAAATGATTTTTCTTTTTTAGAATCCAAAAAAGAGTTGCCCTTTATCTGTTCACTGCCATTTTCTATAGTTTCTGTAGCAAATACATTTAGTCATCAAGTATATTGCTTTGCCAGTTTTTTAAACCTTTAATTTAATAGTTTAATGAAAAATTGAGCAAATATTAAGATTATTCTTTGAAAGACATAACAGCTTAAAGATATAGGTTCTTAGTTATACATTTAACGTGATCTCAGTAAAGATATCTGATTTTTCTTGAGAAAGGAGAATAACTAGATAAGGTAATTCTAAAGTTCATTGGCAAAAGTAAGCATCCTAAAAATTGCTAGAAGAGTCATAAGACTAACTATTCTAGATTTTAGAGCTTATAATAAAGCCCCAGTAATTTAAACACAGTGAATAGATGCACTAATAATACAGCTTTCTTATCTCTTAGATTAGAAATATATATGTCAATTTAACATGAGTAAAGAGACATGTCAAATCAGTGGGTGAAAAGGTGGAATTATTTAGTTATAGGAAGTTCAGAATTTAAAAAAAACAAAAGACAAGATAAACTAGGAAAAGATTTCAACTCATCACAGATAAAGGGCTAATCTTACTAATATATAAAGTGACCTTGGAAATAAATGAATTATGTGAGGAAATTCACGGAAAGGCTGATAAAATCATATGAAAAAGTGCTTAATTTTATTTACAATAAGAATTGCAAATTTAAACTATATAGAGTTAGTAATTTTTTTAACCTGAGAAATCTGTAGGTTTCCTATTACGCTCTGATGAAGCTATGAGGAAACAGATATTCTAGTGTATTGTTCGTTATGTCAGTTGACACAACACCTGTTGAAGAAATTGGCAGTAATCTAATGTATGAAGTGACGTATGTATAAAGTTGTTCATTGTGCCATTGTTTGTAATGACAAAAGACTGTTAAAATTGAACTGCTTATTAATAGGGAAAGTTAAAGAGCTTATAATTAATCCATACAACAGAGTATTAAGTAAGTGTAAGAAAAGAGTTAAGGAAATGCTCCACATATTGATATGAAGGGATATGGGGTATATTGTTAGGTAAAAAAGGAAGCAAGAATCAGAACAGTATGTCTAGTATAAAGAAGAGTAAAAATAAAAGTATAATTTTGTATTTCTTGTATCTGTAGAAAGAAACTCTAGAAGGATATACAAGAGATTAACTGGTTACATAGGGTAGTGGGAACTAGATGAGTGGGGACAGGTAAACCCCTTTTATATAATTCTATTATTTTGAGCTATTGAAATTAAATGATATAATTAAAAAATAAATTAGTTTGTGACTAGTTGTGACTAACTAAAAATTACATGTTTAAGGTGAATGCCAACTTAAAAAAACTTTTCCTCATTTATACAGTTGATTAGTGAGTAGCTTGAGCTATAGTTTTAGCTCTCACATACAAGCTATGTGATGGACAAATCATTTTTTTTCTTTGCTTTTATATGCTATGTATTTATGTTTAGATACACTTTTTAAGTGCGTGTGTTATGATATTGCAGTGTGTTATTTGAAGTGAATAATGTCAGTCATATCTCAGTAATTTGTAAACTAAATTGTTAAAAATAGCTTATCATCTTAGAGACTTTCTAGTCTACATTAATCTTTTTAATAAAATGCTTTTGCAGGGCTGCTTTAAAACTTAATTTTTTACTTAGGGAAATTACCATATAGAAATAAGAATTATAACAAACATGAAACATTTAAACTTGTAATAATGTTCAATATATATGTTCAAATATGATCTCCTCATATGAATCTTTTTAAATCTTCAGCATCATCAGCAAGTATTGACAGAAGTGCCCCCCTAGAAATAGGTCTTCAGCGATCTACTCAAGGTATGTCTAGTCATATGTTTGTATTATACTTTGAAAAACTCATTCCATGACTATACATTTATTTACTTATTTTTTTCTTGTAGTCAAACGAGCTGCAGATGAAGTTTTAGCAGAAGCAAAGAAACCACGAATTGAGGTAATGAAAGTTAATTAAATTAAATTAAATTTATTTATTTATTTATTTTTGAGTTGGAGTCTCACTCTGTCGCCCAGACTGGAGTGCAGGGGCCGCTCCCGGCCACCGCAGCCTCGACCTGCTGGGCTCCGGCGATCCTTCCACCTCAGCCTTCCGAGTAGCCAGAATTACAGGCACGCGCTACCATGCCCGGCTGATTTTTGGTTTATTATAGAGATGAGGTCTCGCCAAGTTGCCCATGCGGGTCTCGAACCTGTGGGCTCAGGCAATTCACTTACCTCAGCCTCCCAAAGGCACGGGATTACAGGCTGAGCCACCGAGCCCAGCTAGAAAGTTTATTTTAAAAGTGATTCATATTGTTACTGAAATTGGGATTGTGTAGTAACGAGAATTCATTGATTGTAGTGATCTTAGGAGGTTTTCCTGAAAAAATTTTTATAATAGAAAGAAGAGTTGATTGATAGTAGCATGAGCTATCGTTTTAGCTCTCTGACATACAAGCTAGGTGATAGATCATCTTTTTCTTTGCTTTTTATGCTTACTAATGAAAATACTGGACTAGATCAAGAGTCAGAATACTTTTTCTGTGAAAAGCCAGATAGTAAATATTTTAGGTTTTGTGGGCCATACAGTTTCTGTTGCAACTTTACCATTCTGCTGTTGTAGTGTGAAAGCAGTCATAGACAATACATAAATGAACAGATGTGGCTGTGTTCCGGTGAAACTTTGCAAAACCGATGGTGGGCCAGAATTGTGTTTGGGATGGTTTGCTTACTCCTGGAATAAGGTGGTAAGGGGATTTGCTTTACTCTTCAGAGCTGTGAACATGTAGTACTTAATGTAACTACTTCATCAAAATGTTAACAGAACAGGTTCTTGATTTCTTATAGCATATTATAGCCAGCAAGTGGGATATTAATATTGTATGGATAGTTCACTTGAACTAGAAGCCATATAAGAAATGCATTTACTTTTAGAAACCTGTTGTACAACATGGTGACTGTGGTTAATAACAGTATATTGTATTTTGAAAATTGCTAAGAGAGTAGATTTTGAATATTTTCACTACAGAAAATAAGTATGTGAGGTAATGCATATGTTAACTAGCCTAATTGAGCCATTCCACAATGCGTACATATTTCAAAACATGTTATACATAAGTAGACACAATTTTTATTTGTCATTTAACAAGAAAAATGCTGTTGCCTTTGGAAAGAAAATTTGTTGATCATTTAGCTTATTGTATAAGATGACTTAACCTTAGGAATTTTAATTATATGAGTGTGGTATTATATACATTTATAACAAGTCCCATGTCAATTACATATAGAACGCTCTAAACATGGAGCAATAATGTACTAGCAGTACACTTAAAATCTGAGAAGTGATTAACAGGTCAAACAACAAAAAGGAGTACACTTTGATCATCAATAATGTTAACTTTGCTAGAAACCATAAATCTTTTCATTTCAGATTCACATAAAAATCAAATAGTTATGTGTGGGTACTTTTTGATCTGCTACATAAACAGCAAAGCTTCCACAATTAGGGATAAGAAAGGTAACTGTTGAAGGGCAGTGTTGGTTGGTAAGTACATAATAGGAGAATCAGTGACAAAATTTGAGGCTAAGATAATATAATGTTAATTATAGTCTGAGACATGGACTTGGTATTTCTAAAATAATGATAATTGATTTTTTGTTATAGCTCTATGCTATGTGATATTCTAAGTACTTTATGTATATTAACTTATGTAATCCTCACCACAACCTCTTGAAGTTGGTAGTACTATGCATGTCATCTGTGAGCAAACAGGCTCAGACAGAATAAGTGACTTGCTAAGGTTTGAAGAGCCATGATTAGAACCCAGGCAGTCTGACTTCTAGTCATTCCACCATACTGGGTATAGATTTTTTCCCTAGTTCTCTTTGTATGAAAAGACATTGTAATCCACTATGAAGAAAGAGAGTGAATTTAGGAATACCATTTATTTGGAAAGACCTGAGCATCACAGTCTATTTATTTGAAAAAAAAAATCAACATGGCAGAAATGCTAATTGGCTAGGATTCCAATAACTTGAAAACTCAGCAGGAAATAGCATAATAAAATTTTTTCTACATTCGTAGTGTTGAAATATGTTACATAAACGACTATATTACATAATTTGTTTTCAGTTTTATGTATTTTATTGAGGACCTACCAGGTACTATGCTAGGAAAGAGAAACTTTGAGGGCATGGTTTCTGATTTGATTAAAGCTGCAGTTGTCTTTAAAATCAGCAATTTCTTTTTTGTTTGTTCGTTTTTTTTTTTTTTGAGTTAGAGTCTCATTCTGTTGCCCAGACTAGACTGCAGTGACCGCTCCCGGCCACTGCAGCCTCGACCTGCTGGGCTCCAGCGATCCTTCGGAGTAGCCTTCCAAGTAGCTGGAACTACAGGCGCGCGCTACTATGCCTGGCTAATTTTTTGATTTATTGTAGAGATCAGGTCTTGCCTGCCCAGGTGGGTCTCAAACCTGCGGGCTCAGGCAATCCACTCACCTCAGCCTCCCAAGGTGCGGGATTATAGGCTGAGCCACCAAGCCCAGCTAAAATCAGCAATTTCTTAAGGAACTTGAGTAGCCTGCATTATACCTTTATTAGAAGTGAAAAAAGTTGAATGTATTTGAAGTATTATTTTTGCATTCATTTCAGCTGATGTGCCTGATTTTTTTTTTTTTTGAGTTGGAGTCTCACTCGGTCGCCCAGACTGGAGTGCAGTGGCCGCTTCTGGCCACCGCAGCCTCGACCTGCTGGGCTCCGGCGATCCTTCCACCTCAGCCTTCCGAGTAGCCGGAATTACAGGCATGCGCTACCACGCCCGGCTGATTTTTTGATTTACTGTAGAGATGAGGTCTCGCTGCCCAGGCGGGTCTTGAACCCGCGAGCCCAGGCAATCCACTCACCTCAGCCTCCCAAAGGCGCGGGATTGCAGGCTGAGCCACCAAGCCCGGCTTGATGTGCCTGTTTTAAGATTTTTTCCATGATAGATTAGTATTAGGACATGAATGGGAGCCCAACATCATCTTGGGTTTCTAAGGTGTGCTGATGCTTTTATATAGGTTCATATTCCATTAGTCACAGACACTGACTCTGGTCGTCAGTTTTATTTGTTTAATGTGGACATGAGACTAGATCAGAGTTACCAAGTTTTGTTTTGTGTTTAGGTAACCACTTTTCAGACTAAGTTTTTCCTGACATCCTAATATGTAAATAAGGTAAAAGCTGAGCTACCAAGGTTGAATTTTATACAAGATCTTGAAATGGCCTATGGGACACGTAGGACACTCCTACATTAGTTCTGAAGAAGAACATGCTTTGAAAACTATTAACGTTTAATAAAAGTGTTTTGATCTGTGCTGGTGCATTCAAGACTTGATGCAACGAAAGAATAAAAATCTAGATCCAAAATGAAATTTTTGACTCTAGTGAAGGCTTCTCATAAAATTTAGTTATAGACGTCCTCACAAATTGGAATTTGTTTTATGATATCTTTTTGAAGAAAGGTAGTTGTGATATGTTATGGGAAAAACACTTAATGGTAGAAAAAAGTGACTAAAAAAGTGACTAAGCCAGTTTTTTCTAAGCTTGTATTGATTGCAGTCCTATACAATCCAATGTATATTTATTGTTATTGTCTTTATGTAACTACAAGTAGTCTTAAAGTTGAGCTAAAGACCCTGGTAACTAGAATTGTATAGGTGAGATATTTGGTAAGGAAAAGTTATATGTGGCAGTTTTTTTTTCTTTCTGCAAATTAAGTACAAATTTGAAATATTCACTAACCAGAGGTTATTTGCAGGATGAAGAGTGTGTGCGCCTTGATAAAGAGAGATTGGCTGCTCGCTTGGAGGGTCACAAAGAAGGGATTGTACAGACTGAACAGATTAGGTAAGGGTTTTTTAAGTAGAAATGGGAATTTTAGGTATTTGTAAATGTATATGGAAAAGGGGATGTTAAATGCTATCCACATTACATTAACCTTTTCCATTTATTGTATTCTTCTGTGTCCTAAGTTCATAAGAATACATGGGCATGTTTTATGATAGGGGCATTCTGGAAAGGCTTCTTGATTCATTTATCACATTGGTCTTCCTTTTTAAAAATTACTCCATAATCTGAGATACTCATTTTATCCTGTAACTTCTTATTGATTAATAGCAGAGGTCAGCAAGCTTTTTCTTGGAAGTGCCACATATTAAATATTTTTGGCTTTGCAGGTAATATGGTCTTTTTTGCAACTACTTAACTCTTTTGTGGTAGGGAAAGCAGCCATAGATAATACATAAATGGATGGGCATGACTGGAATTGGCTTCTCTGCTTCACAGTGTCTTGGAAGGCTGCAAATAACACTGATGGCTAGTACCGTGGTCTCATACGTAGGCTTCACTGTGGAAGGATCTACTTCCCAGCTTCCTTGTGTGTTGTCATCCTTAATTTATTTTTTAATGAAGTGTGTCTTGCTCTATTGCTGGTTTTGAACCCTTTATTATGGCATAAACTTGGGGAAATTTTCTTCATGTTTCTTGTGGTTGAGGTCCATTGAGCTTTTGGGGAGAATTGTTGGTTTATAATTTCCATTTGATTTGGAAAATTTTTGGCATTTTTTTCTTCACTGAAAAATTTTTTATTATTATTAATTTTTTTTGAGTTGGGGTCTCACTCTGCCTCCCAGGCTGGAGTGCAGTATATGAGCATGCCACTGCAACCTCAACCTGCTGGGCTCAGGCAATTCTTCTGCCTCAGCTCTCCAAGTAGCTAGGATTCTAGGCATGCTGCACCATACCTGGCTAGTTTTTTTAAATTTTATTTGTTGCAGAAACAAGGTCTTGCCACGTTTCCAGGCTGGTCTTAAACTCCTGGTCTCAGGCAGTCCTCTCACCTTGGCCTCTTAAAGTACTGGGATTATAGGCATGAGCCACTTTGCCTGGCCTGATTCTTTACCTTTTCTTTTGTTTGTTTCTGTTCTTCTCGATTCTGACTACACAAATTCTACTTGCAGTGTTTTTTTGGTTATTTGGATTCTTTTTCTATCTATTGGTATTCTTTGTTTGAATTAAAAAAACCATTTTGGGTAGTTTTTATTGTTGTGTATTCAAGTTTACCAATATTTTTTCTGTAATCCCTTGCATTATGTTTTTAGTCTCCAAGATTATAGACTTTATCTCTAGGAGTTTGTTTTGCCTTTTTAAAAAATGTAATCTATTTTATGTCTTTACTTAATTTGTTGAACATATGGAATATAGTTATAATTTTTTTAATGTCTTGTGATTGATTTATATCTTTCCTCATTCAGGCTCATAATTTTCTTCCTCTTTATATGCCTTATGATCTTTGATGGCATACCAGACATTATGTATTTTTTCTTGTCGAGTGCTAGATATTTTTATACCTCTCCAGCGACTTCTTTAGCTTTGTTTTGGGACACAGTTAAATCATGTGGAGTGTTTGTTACTTTTGGATCTTTGTTTTAAGATTTGTTACTTGAACAGTGGTCAGTTAGGGCAATTATTCCCCATCCTACCAAGAAATGACCATTCTGATTACTCTAATACTCTACATAATGCCCCATGGGTTTCAGTTTAGGTGATGGGAACAAGTACTTAAGGGGAAGCACTTTATGGCTTCTCCATATCAGCATCACTACTCTTATGCTTTGGAGCCATTATTAATCAAATAAGGATTACTTGAGCATAACCACTGAATAGTCAGTCTGATAGCAAGATGGCTGCTAAGTGACTAACAAGTGGGTAGTGTGTACAGTGTGGACACATTGGACAAAGAAATCATTCATGTCTGGGTGTCCTAGGCAGGGCAGAGCAGGATGGTGTGAGATTTCAGCAGGTTACTCAGAATCGTGTACAATTTAAAACTTATGAATAATTTCTGAATTTTTCATTTACCATTTTTGGGCTGTGGTTGACAGCGTATAACTGAAACTCCTGAAAACCAAGCAAGGGACTACTGTATTTGAATTTGGCTTAAGGTATGCTGGTGTGTTTTAGATTTTAAGGGGAAATTTCATGGTATACAAAATGAGTCAAATACCACATGCATATTGAGCATCTGCTGTAAAGTACCTTCAAACTTAATGTGTATAAAATTAGAATACTGTATAATACTACTGTATTTAAACCTGCAGTCATTTTCATCCTTTTTCCAGATTTTGTGTAAACATATTTCAAGATTTTCATCTTGTGACTAAAGTAATATTTTTGTCTACTATTATTAAGGTACCCAAACACTTTTTAAATTCTTTTTTTCTCGTTTTATGTTATAAAAAGACACTATGTTTAAGATTCCCATGTTATGAAATCTGTACTTTCAGTGTTTTTTTTTTTGATAGTTCTGCAAGCATAGCCTCTTTTTGCTGTTTTGCCTGTATAAAAATCAAGTAAAGGGAAGAAAAATAAAACTACAAAATATGATTTCATCTTCCAAAGGCTAAAAGGAGTATGTGTTTTTGTGGCATATAAAAGGCTCTGTCACCTATAAAATATGTTGTACACCACGACATACAAGTTTGAAACCTTGAAATAAATTTCAAGGTAAACCTAAGCTTTGAAATCTTTAACAGATGGATTTTTTCAGCTCCCTTTCAAGGTGGCCTCTGTATGTGCATGTAGTTTCCATAGATAGAGATGGGTTAGCTAATGAAATCTCAGAGCATACAAGGAAAAGCACCCATATTAATGAGTCCTGCTTTTTTGGGGGGCGGGGAGCTTAAAAAATCATGAAGAATTTTGTTGCATTTATCATGCTAAGAAAGAAATTACTAATTTGCTCAGAGTAAATATCTCTACATGAATTCTTTATCAAAATTTTATATGATTACAAACTGTCAAGTCAATTTTCAGAAAAGAAGAAAACCTTAATTGCTGCCATTAGAGTGTTTGTTTGTTTTTTTTTACCAGAAACTTACAAATGTAACAAAATATATTTATGATGGTGCTTCAGGAATCCTTGCTGTGAAAATTTTAAAAAGAAATTGCTTTTAGGTCTTTGTCTGAAGCTATGTCAGTGGAAAAAATTGCTGCAATCAAAGCCAAAATTATGGCTAAGAAAAGATCTACTATCAAGACTGATCTAGATGATGATATAACTGCCCTTAAACAGAGGAGTTTTGTGGATGCTGAGGTAGATGTGACCCGTGATATTGTTAGCAGAGAGAGAGTGTGGAGGACACGAACAACTATCTTACAGAGCACAGGAAAGGTAGAGTATTTTACTCGCTTATTAGAATGTATATTGTCTTAATCTGGAATTGGTTATAATTTGCTGTTATGAGGTGGCTTCAGATTTTATCTCTTTTAATGATCAGTAATGTGTAGATTTCCAAATGGCCATATTTGCCATTCCTTTCTTGAATATGGTGGTCGGTCACCAAAGAAACTGATGACCGCGCCTTTGAGAGGGTGAGGTGAGTGGATTGCCTGAGCCCGCGGGTTTGAGACCCGCCTGGGAAGCGAGACCTCATCTCTACAATAAATCAAAAAATCATTGATGGCAAGTTCTCTGGTTATTAGTATCATTATTAACTTTTTCCCCCCAAAATAGAGAACTTAGATAAATCAGTTAGCAAACATTTATTTAGTGTATTTTATACATTAAATTCTGTTGTAGGGTTTACGAGTTTTATTTTTACTTCCTTATTGGAAACTTCTGTTTCCAATAACCCTTCCTTTCTTTTTTCTCCCAGTCTCCCTTTTTCCTCGCTTTTGCCTCCTTTTTCTCCTTCTCTTTCTTTTTCCTTCTCTTCCTTCCACTTTACTATTACAAATGATGTATTAAAAAACATTTTTGTACATAATACCTTTGTATATTTTTGTGTATATAGCCAAAGGATTAATTTTTGGAAATGAATTGCTCATTAAAGAAAATACTTTAAATTTCGAAAGATAAAAATTAGAAAGATACTGATGCCCAGTATCTTAATGCCTTTCCAGAAAGGATGCATTGATTCTGTATATACTTATTTTCATTCATCTTTGTCTCCCCCAGCTGCAAATTTTCTCTTAAATGTTAAGTCTCCACAAATGTGTAGTTGTTGATAGTGTTGATTTGGTAAGAATGTTTGAAGAAATGTGCAAAGTTATTGATGAAATTAAACTGTAACAGTATTCTAGGAAGACTGATTTGGGTAGTAGAGATTTGGGATTTTAGCCTTAAATTTTCATTATCATTTTAGTAGAAATAAAGCTACAGAAAGGGCATTTGAAGGAAATAATTATTGTTTTCTTTTGTACTTTGACTTGTTTAAAGCCTAAGGTTGAAATTAAGAATCATTCTCTAGAGTTTAGAATTATAGAGACATCTGAGGATATAAATAAAATTCCATTTTTGTTTACAATAAAGTGATCTGTTGATACTCATTTTTACTGCCTAACATAGCTAATACTTGAATAATATGGTGACTTATGTTGATCCAACAGTGTTCATTATAATTATTGAAGAATCTGAAATTCATAGTAAAGGAATAAAATAAGTGATATACCCTCACCTTACTTTTAGACTAAGCATAACATTTTTAAAGAACTGAAGTGAACAATTTTCTTTGAGCTCTAGATGGCAGAATTGTACCATCATTTCAAAACTTAGTGTTCTAATTCAATTTACTGTTGTTAGTACCACTGTGTCTTTTAAAAAATAAGTTAATAGTTTAGGAATTTTTTGGTAACTAGTTCTGCCTCTGAGTATTGACATTAAAAAAAAAAACAATAGTCTCCAACAGTCTTTCTGCGTACACTTTCTATCTGGTTTCTAAAAATACTCTTAGGTATTTAAACTCCTATAGGTTTTTTAGACCTTCATTATTACTGGTTAACAAGACCTTATTTTTTGAGTTTCAAGAACAATAGACAGGTTCAAAATTCGATGAAAAATACATGTCCTTTTATACAGTTATATTGTGAGCACCCCAAATAAAGCAACTAAATTTAAAAAGCACACTTCTATACTTCTGCAACACACTGAAACTTATAGTATATGTTCATTATTGAAAAATTGACAAAAGGAGATCAGTAAAAGGAAGGTAATAATTGTAATTCCATCATACAATAGCTGATAATAACATTTTGATTGATTATTCTTTATTTTTAAAGTAGTGAGGTTTGCTTTTTAAATTTTACTTTCATTTTTTACTGTGTTGACCTTGGTGTGATGATGCAAAAGCAAGTGTTTGTTAAACTACTGGATTTGTGGCATGTGTCACAGCAGTGACACCAGATTTTACTAGTAGTCATTGTGTTCTTCACTTGGTATTAAGGTTCATTAGTTTTATTAAATCTTGTGCCTTGAATATGTCTTTTTAATATCATGTATTATGAAATTGGAATGTATGAAGCACTTCTGCATAACAGAAGATGATGGTTGTCCCCATGAAGAGCCCTTGTGCCATTGTTTAACTGTGAGCTGAATCAACTGCTTTTTCACAGAAAATAATTCCTTATTTGAATAACTGTCATTCAGACTTGAGTATTGAATAGACTCTTTTTTTTTAAATGTGGGAAGCAAATCTGTTCCTTCAAGGAAATCAGCTGATAGTATTTGTTGCCAGTGATAAAATGTGAACTCTCATGAGAAAATTAGAATTTTGGGAAGTTTCTTTCTGCTACTGTGACCATGACAGTATTCTAATTCCTAAAATTTCTTCTGATGGGTCTTATATAAATGATATTTACTAATGTAATTGCTGATATTGAATTAAGAAACTTCTTTGATAAATCTCTTATTTTAAAAATTTTATTTAGATGTTACTTCCTGGTTATATATTTGAGTTGATGTGGAATACGAATACATCTGTAGCAGTCTAAGCAGAATGAAAATAATAAAATAAATAACACGAAGTTTTTAATAGTTGGTCTATGGATCAGTGTCCCAGTAGTAAAGTGTATAATGATACCTCATTATGATGTAATACGGAAGAATAGGACAATAACTTAGCCTTAAGTAGTTTAAGTAAGCTTACTGTCTTTGTATATTTAATTTTAAGTGGGCTTAATTAAAATTTATATTTTAGAATTTCTCCAAGAATATTTTTGCAATTCTTCAGTCCGTAAAAGCCAGAGAAGAAGGGCGGGCACCCGAACAGCGACCAGCCCCAAATGCAGCACCTGTGGTAAGAATGATTTTACTACTATATAGTGATTTTAATGAAAATGCCACTTATACTCAGTGTTGTGATTTTGAAGACATCATAATGCTTTAAAATCACTAGATTTTAAACCTTTTGCTGCTTTTGTGTACCTGAAAGTTGTTAAAATTCTCTCTAGAAGTGAAAGTTACTTTAACAGTAATTGTTAACTACAAATATACCTGGGTCAGAGTCTAAAAGGCGTTAATTAGGAAAACCCCTCTGAGTAATTCTTTTAGGTAGACTTTAGCCTACTTATTGTTGCTTGAGAGGATCACTAACCATTGTTAAAAATAAAAATCTCTGCTATCTTCCAGTTTAGGGCTTTTTTGACATCATATCTATTACTTCTTGGTGAATGTATGAGGAAGGACCCCAAAAACCCCAGAATTCATTTATAAAAAATTGTGTATTCTTTCATGTTTAAACTTTAGTCACCTTCAAAGTACTCTCTCCATTTGATGCAGTATACCTATCGAGATGCTTTTTTTTACTGCTTGAAACAGTTTTTGAGCTTGTCAGTTTTGGTGCATTTTAGTGCTTTTGCTGTTTTTGTTTCGCCTCTTCCAAATCAGCAAAATGTTTCACTTTGAGGAGTTTTTTCATCCAGGGACAAAAAAAGTCACTTACGGTGATACCAGGTGACTAGGTAGTGGTTGGGCATGGTGTTCATGGCATTTTTGGTAAAAACTGCTGAACACTCAGCAGTGGGTAGGTGTGTTGTCATGGTGGAAGAACTAGTCACCCCTTTGCCTTGTTTGGGACATTTCTTTTGCAAATTGTGACACAACCTTCTCAAAACTTCCAGATAAAAACTTTGACCATTTTATCTGGAGGAACAAATTCTGAATGCACTATAAAAAACCTGCCCTCCAAGAGATAATTCTGGTTTATTTTTGTCCCTGGCATAGTTCTGATCATCAACCACGTGACCCTTTCATTATACCTCAGTTTCAGCTGAGGTTTGACTGCTTAACTCTAAGACCCACTCAGAGTAAATTTTGTTGAAAATCCTTCCAACTGTTTTCATATGATTCAACAAAGGAAAAAGAAAACCTACAAATGAAATTGTTTTTATTTTATGTAGCACTTTAAAAGGCATATTGAAATGTATTAAGAGTACTAATACAATCTTTCAAGATTTAGTAGTTTATTTGTTCATGAAATCACTAGTATTTATTTATTTATTTTTTATTTTTGAGTTGGAGTCTCACTCTGTCGCCCAGACTGGAGTGCGGCGGCTGCTCCAGCCACCGCAGCCTCAACCTGCTGGGCTCCGGCGATCCTTCCGCCTCAGCCTTCCGAGAAGCCGGAAGTACAGGCACGCGCTACCACGCCTGGCTCATTTTTTTATTTATTGTAGAGATGAGGTCTCGCCAAGTTGCCCAGGCAGGTCTCGAACCCGCGGTCTCAGGCGATCCAATCACCTCAGCCTCCCAAAGGCGCGGGATTACAGGCTGAGCCACCGAGCCCAGCTAAATCACTAGTATTTAACTTTTAGATGTAGTAGGTTTTTGCTGATAATTAGATATATACTTTTAGTTGACTCTCCAGAGAGTATTTAAGTGCCTGCTATTTGTTAGGTAGCGCACTGGAGACCTTGAGATACAATAATGAGAAAAATCACAGTTTCTGCCCTCTTTGAGCTTATAGTCTAGTAAGCTAGACTTATTAGATGTTTAAAAAAGGAAGTTAGGTAAGTGTTAGCATAGTAAAAAAGAGGGCACTTAAAATTGTGAATTGGTTGACATTTCTTCTTCTTTTTTTTTTTTTTTTTTTTTTTTGAGTTGGAGTCTCACTCTGTTGCCGACTGGAGTGCAGTGGCTGCTCCCGGCCACCGCAGCCTTGACTTGCTGGGCTCCGGTGATCCTTCCGCCTCAGCCTTCCAAGGAGCTGCAACTACAGGCGTGTGCTACCACACCTACCTAATTTTTGATTTATTGTAGAGGTGAGGTCTCGCCAAGTTGCCCAGGCGGGTCTCAAACCCGCCGGCTCAGGCAATCCATTCACCTCAGCCTCCCAAAGGCTTGGGATTATAGGGTGAGCCACCGAGCCTGGCTTGGTTGACATTTCAAATGGCAGTTGGTGGGAAACATGGGAAACATGAAAATGGTTTAACCATTCTCTTTGTGACTAAATATATTTCTTTGAATGTATATAATCACTAGAATACTTGAGAAGTATTATGTTTGGCACTTAACTATAAAAGTATATACCTAGTAACACCCTTATACAAATTTTTGCTTATTTATTTAATTAATTTATTTTAAAAATTGAGGCAGAGTCTTGCTATGTTGCCCAGGCTGGTCTCAAACTCCTGGACTCAAGCTATCCTCCCATGTCAACCTCCCAAAATGCTGGGATTATAGGTGTGAGCTACCATACCTGACCAACAAGTTTGATAAGTAGTGATAAATGTCTTTTATTTGGAATAAGACTTGGGATGGAATTCTATTGTAAGAAAACGAAGAGTATTTCAATCATTAATTTCCTAAGTAACTTTAGAAATATTCTTTAAATATGTGCCTTTAGATTTTTATAGACTATGAGTTTTGGGTAAAGTGTTTCTGAATTAAAGAATGTACCATTGAATTGACAGTTCTAAGTGTTAAAAAAAACACCCGTTACTTCGGATTTACTCTATACATTTATAATGAACTCATTGCTATAGTTTATATGTTTATTTAATTTGGAGGCTGACCATTAACAATTTGGTGGATAATTCAGTTAAAACTCTCTAAAATGTAGCTTAATAAACTTTGAATTAATGGGTTTTTTTTGTTTAAAAAAAATCATAATTTTTTTTTGAGTTGAAGTTTCACTCTGTCACCCAGGCTGGAGTGCAGTGGCACACTCAAGGCCACCCCAGTGTTGACCTGCTAGACTCCTGTGGTCCTTCCGCCTCAGCCTTCCAAGTAGTTGGAACGACAGGTGCGCGCTACCGCGCCCAGCTAATTTTTGATTTATTGTAGAGATGAGGTCTCGCCAAGTTGCTCGGGCTGGTCTCGAACCCGTGGGCTCAGGCAATCTACTTGTCTCGGCCTCCCAAAGTGCTGGGATTATAGATGAGCCACCGAACTCGGCCAAAAAATCGTATTTTGAGGGGAAGTATTATTTCATAATAACACATAAGTAACCAGAATGAAATTATCAAACATATCTTTTTATTTTTGCTAAAGGATTTGCTTTTTGCCTTGGTATGTTTGAGATTGTTTGCTCTTGTCCCTGATTGGCAGTAAACAGTATCTCAAAAACAAGCATCAAATGACTAGTGGTCTCCTTACCTTTTGTCTTACTAACTATGGTAACAGAAAAGCTTAGAAAAAATTTAAGAGTATTAACTAAGTAATATTTAAAAATACTAGTATGTAACTCATACTTTATTTTTCCACAGGATCCCACGTTGCGTACCAAACAGCCTATCCCAGCTGCTTACAACAGATATGACCAGGAAAGATTCAAAGGAAAAGAAGGCAAGTACTTAACTTTTGCTTTCCTCATTCTGTGGTTGTGCTGAACTTGAGCGGCAGTATTGCCTGTTTTTTTTTTGAGTTGGAGTCTTACTCTGCCAGCCAGTGCAGCCTCGACCTGCTGGGCTCCGGCAATCCTTCCGCCTCAGCCTTCCAAGTAGCTGGAACACGTCCAGCTAATTTTTGATTTATTGCAGAGATGAGGTCTCACCAAGTTGCCCAGGCGGGTCTCAAACCCACGGGCTCAGGCAATCCACTCACCTCGGCCTCCCAAAGCGCTGGGATTACAGGCTGAACCACTGAGCCCGGCCATGGCCTGATTTTTAAGAGCAAAGGTTGGCAAAGTAATATCTGCAGGTCAAATTTTTCTCATTGTATGTTTTTGTAAATAAAGTTTTATTGAACACAACCACATTCTTTTATTTATTTTATTTTTTATTTTTATTTTTTTTTTTGAGTTGGAGTCTCACTCTGTCGCCCAGACTGGAGTGCAGTGGCCGCTCCTGGCCACCGCAGCCTCGACCTGCTGGGCTCCGGCGATCCTTCCGCCTCAGCCTTCCGAGTAGCCGGAATTACAGGCGCGCGCTATCACGCCCGGCTAATTTTTTGATTTTACTGTAGAGATGAGGTCTTGCCTGCCCAGGCGAGTCTCGAACCCGCGGGCTTGGGCAATCCACTCACCTCAGCCTCCCAAAGGTGCGAGATTACAGGCTGAGTCACCAAGCCCGGCTTACATTCTTTTATTTATGTATTATCTATGGCTGTTTTAGCTCTGTGACATTAGTACTGAGCTGTTAAAACTGAACCTGTATATATATACTCTAAAGCCTCAGAGTACTATCTGGCCCTTTGCAGAAAAATTGGTCAATCCCTGTTTAATAGCGTGGATTCTGGATCCAGATAGCTTATGTCACAGTTTCTTTTTATATGAGTTTTAATTTTACTTTAACTGCATTCTGTCATTTTCTCCTGTATGTAATTACAATATTAATAGTATTAGTACTCTTCTCTTAGGGTTATTTTGGGGATTGGACTTGTTAATAAGTATTAAGTCCCCAGAATAGTGTCCTGTATGTAATAAGTTATCTATAAATGTTTACTATTATTAATATTAGTTTTGTTTCTAAAGAATTTATTTTGGAGTGGAGAGTCTATATATCAAATTATGTTTTCCAAATTTTAAATGTATACATTGGGAAACAGGCTTGGAGAAATGATATAAGGATTTGGTTTTTGAGCTAATGCAAAAAAGAACCATTTCTACAAAAGTGAGCAGAGACTAACATTAGTGTAATGTTCTCTTGGGATCCTCATTTATCTTTACTTGATTCATGAAAATATAAGATAGAAGCAACTAGAAGTTTAACATTTATCATTTCTCTAAATTTTTTTTTTTGAAACTGTCTTGCTCTGTTACCCAGGCTAGAGTTTGATCATAGCTCACTGCAACTTGGAACTCTTGAACTCGAGTATCGAGTAGTCTTCCCACGATAGCCTCAAAGCAGCTGGGACCATAGACGTGCGCCACATGCCCTACTAATTTTTAAATTTTTTGTAGAAACAGTGTCTTGCTATTGCTGCACAGGCTGGTCTCAGACTCCTGGGCTTACGTGGTTTTTCTGCCTTGGTCTCCCAAAGTGCTGGGATTATAGACATGGTTCACTGTGCCCGGCCTTCTGCATAATTTTAAATCTCTATTTATGTTTCTTTAAAGGATATGTTGCCTTGATACAGTGAATTTTCTGTGCTGACTTCCTTTACTAAATAAAAGCATGCACTGAATACATGCAGTAGAAAGACAGTGGCCCGTTTACTTGAATGTTGTTTTTGTGGAATGAATTGTGCTAAGTAGAAGTTGGCAAGTTCCAGTCCAAAGACCAAATCTGACCCTCCATGGCCAAATTGGGCTATCCCTAGTTTAACACATATATTGTTTATCCTACTGTTGTACTACAACTGCAGAATTCAGTAGTTGTGACAGATTTTATGGCCTGTGGTGTGTAAAATATTTACTGTGTGACCCTTTACAGAAAGGCATATTGGGACTCTGTCTTGAAACTCCCATCATTATTTACAACATTGCTTTCTATAAAATATGTAACATGTCTTTTGACACTAGCTTTGGAGCACAATTTTTTTATTTCTTAGAGAATTCTCATGTTATTAGGTGCTTTTAGTGGTATTATCATTGAGTATTAGTAGTAATTTGAGGTTATAAAGTATTTTATTCAGTCTAACTTTTGAACATAATTGCAGAGATAGTCTTAACCAGCTTCCACACAACAGGCTCATTGATATGTATGTAATATATTTTTGAGCCCAGATTCCTTTTTAAAGTTTTTATCTTCGCAAGTATGTAATTTAACTTCGTATACAGTAGATTTAGGTCTTTATTATACTGTTGATCTGTTAGATATAATGAAGATTATTACTTTAGATGTGTTATAGAACATGAAATACATGATATATAATATTAAACCTGTTTTCTTTATAGAAACGGAAGGCTTCAAAATTGACACTATGGGAACCTACCATGGTATGACATTGAAATCTGTAACGGTAAGTTATTTTGACTGCAAGTTTTTTTGTTCCAGGCATTTTATGTGCGTAGCAGATGTTGGAGAAAATCTGTGTTGTAGTATTTCTTGTTTCAAACATTTTTCTTTAACAATCAGTTGTGCTGATTTATCTGTGTGGTCCAGTATTGTGATTGATGAGTATCTTTTTGTTTTGTTTTGTTTTCTTTTTCCAAACTGAGTTGAGTATGTGTAAATCTGATCTGATTAACTTGCAAGTAGGACAGTGCCACCTGGTTGCATTTTTAAGCCAGTGAGTTACAAGAATAATTTGGGAGAGTTCTTTGCTGTTTTTTTTTTTTTTTAGTTGGAGTCTCACTCTGTTGCCTAGACTGGAGTGCAGTGGCCGCTTCCAGCCACTGCAGCCTCGACCTGCTGGGCTCTGGCGATCCTTCCGCCTCAGCCTTCCAAGTACCTGGAGCTACAGGCGCGCGCTACCATGTCCGGCTAGTTTTTGATTTATGTAGAGATGAGGTCTCGCCTAGTTGCCCAGGTGGGTCTCAAACCTACGGGCTCAGGCAATCCACTCACCTCAGCCTCCCAAGGTGCGGGATTACAGGCTGAGCCACTGAGCCCGGCTTTTTGCTGTTATATGTTCTTTAAAATGTAATACTTTATGCTCTTTAAAAAGTCAGATTGCAGTGGTTGTAATGCTTACAAAGTAGTACTTGACAGAACCAAATACTTGAATATTCATGCATATAAGCCTCTGGTTCACTTTTAGCAAACCTTTTTTATTTTTTTAAAAATGGTTGCTTTTTAGATTTTCTGACCAAGCCGTATTTGATGCTTGTTTAGTCAATGATAGGACTTGGTGCTGTAGAGCAGAAATTTCTTTAACCTCATTTTGCATATTTATATTCCAGAACAGTATATCTTTTATACTTTCAGATACTGTGTATATGTATTTATTAGTGTGTATGTACTTAAAATAGTGTATATGTATTCATTCGAGTATGTGTACTTAAAACACTACAAAACTTACTTATGTCTTTACTTGTGACTCATCAGATCTTTTATGAACATAAGGCATGGAATCATGATATATTTGCTGTGATTTCTCAGAATTAAGATATCGTCATACCTACTTGTAATTTACAATGCTTTACTCATTTCCAGAAACAGATAGCAAATAAGTGTAGAGAATCTGATTTTAAAAGATAGAAATTTTCTTTCTTTTCCTGGACTTCACATTGGAATTGGATATCAGATATTTTGTTAGCCTACTTGTTTTTAAATTGCCATCAGATTTCTTTTTGTATTGTTAAAATTGTATATAGACTAATTCATTCAACAAATACTTACTGAGCATTTGTGTTAGAACCTATTTTAGTTATTGGGCATATAGCTGTGAATACGGCAGTTTTCTCTTTAGAGAGAGTAGTCAGAGATGTTTCTTTTAGGAGGTGATAGTTGAACATAGATTTGGAAGAACATTCCCAGTAAAACAAGGCAGAGATCAGAATGGAGTCCCTTTAAGAGCAACAGCAGGTAGGCTGGTGTCACTGGAGTTTAGTGAATGAAGGGAATAGTCCGTAAGAGATCACATGCTATGAGATTTGCTTAGTTTTTTCTGTCTTCGGTATATAATTTATGGCTAAAGATTTAACTTAAAATTCTTTTGTGATTAAGTTCTGTCATTTTTCTGGGAACAGATCTTGTCTACTGGTATCCTTAAGTGAATTTTCATAGAATGAAGTTGTTACCCTTAGGGAGCCATCAGAGTAAGTGTATGTTGTTATTGTTGTTTTTACTTTCCTCATTCATTCCTATAGCTCTGAATGTTATGAAACAGTTGTTATTATCTGAGCTTCTTGGCAAATAGTAAAATCAGCGGTAGTTTGTATAGTGGTACTTTGTACAGAGCAGGTTTTCTAAAATCCAAGGATAGCTTTTTAATTGAACAATATGAGAATGATATGGTTCTGCTTCCTCAATACTTAAAAGAGGGGTGAATTTAAACACATTTATGCTATGTGATTTTTAAAGAATGATCACAAGAAGGCATGATGTAGGAATGCAACAGAGACTAAAAATGGTCCAGTTGTTGGTAGTTCTATCATTTTAATACACATCTTGAATCTTTGTACTGCTTGTGACTCGATTCATTTACTGGTTGTTAGAGAACACATAGAGAAGTTTTAACTTGAAGGCTTTGAAGTTCTCAAATTATTGTTTAGTTGCATATTTCAAATTTATGCTTCTAATTTAATATTCCCCCTCCTTTTTTTTATGTTTTGGAATTATTACCTATTTGTGAGCTTGTGAATTGTACCAACTTTCTATCTATTCTTCAGCTAAGAGAATTTCTCTTGGCTGGGCTTGGTGGCTCAGCCTGTAATCCCACACTTTGAGAGGCTGAGGTGAGTGGATTGCCTTGAGCCCATGGGTTCAAGACCCACCTGGGTAACTTGGGGAAACCTCATCTCTACAGTAAATCAAAATATTGGCTGGGCGTGGTATCACGCACCTATAGTTCCAGCTACTTGGAAAGCTGAGGTGGAAGGATCGCCAGAGCCCAGCAGGTTGAGGCTGTGGTGGCCGGGAGCGTGCCACTGCTCTCCAGTCTGGGCGACAGAGTGAGACTCCAACTCAAAAAAAAAAAAAACATACAAAGCTGTTAAATATATGTTAAAAGGCTTTGCTTCTCAGATGTGACTTCCTTTCTAATTTATGCATAGTTCATTTTCACTGCCATTGTTCTTCAGGGTTTTTAGTGTACATAGTTAAACAAGTTAGGATAAGTCTTTCAAGTTCAACACGAGTGTTCTGTTAGATGCCAGACTAAATCAGTAAATTAACTTGTATAGATGACTAGAAAATTTTTATATAAGTAGTTTTTTTCTTATGTGTTATAGAAAAGGATATGTGTTTTGGTAATCATATTTCATGAGAATCATGAATTGGTGGAATTTTTGATAGAAGTAAAGACTCAAGCCGGGCTTGGTGACTCAGCCTGTAATCCTGCGCTTTGGGAGGCTGAGGTGAGTGGATTGCCTGAGCCCATGAGTTCGAGACCCGCCTGGGCAACTTGGCAAGACCTCATCTCTACAATAAATCAAAAACTAGCTGGGCGTGGTAGCGCGTGCCTGTAGTTCCAGCTACTTGGAAGGCTGAGGCGGAAGGATCACCGGAACCCGGCAGGTCGAGGCTGCAGTGGAGCGGCCACTGCACTCCAGTCTGGATGGCAGAGTGAGACTCCAACTCAAAAAAAAAAA